TGTCTCTGCTTTTCTTTGAGCAGAATCTTTACCCAATGCTGATAATTTTCTATGATTCCTGCCGCCCTCTTAACGTATACTACTGATATCCATTCCGATGACCAACGTCTACTACAGTGGGATATGATGTGCACTGGATTCGAGCCACCATGAAAACAAAACATCATTTATTGCGAGGTAGATGAATTCTTTTGTGAAGTCATGTTATTTCTTTCTCTCTGTCCTTGAAATTTTTTTTTTATTGTAGGAATTCAAGTAGAGAGTTATGAAGAAGTTGGTTTACTCCAGTCAGAAGAGTTTGAAAAACTACAATACGGTTAAATGATATAGAATGAAATTTAAACTGTTGTTTTGTTGTAACTCATTCGTTTCATGATGATATTTCATCGCAGATTGACATGCATTGGATCTGTTGAATTATTGTTTAGTGCCTGTAGATGGATTTCTCGAAGGCTTAATAAGAATTTGGATGAGAGGAAAAATACTCTCCGATGGCATTAGATCATGATAGCTGCGCTATATCGCGAATTGACAAAATAAACAACTACTTGACGTCTAGATTCCAACCTGTGCTCGTCACGAGATCTGACCATCCTGTGCTTCACCACTCATGAGATCATGGATGTCCAATGCACAGTTATAACTTGGATGGAGGTAATCCAAAGGAAGCCTTGGAAGCCCGGGTTTCAGGCTTTGCAATGGTGAGTCTCCCAACTTGGTGGCCACATTACAAAATGGCCGATACAATTCGATTTGCACTTGTAACTACACAACGTGAATTTGGTTATCCTTCAGTGATCAATCCGTGTACCTAACCAGTTCTACAGATTGACCTCACTCACTCTCCGTAGTGAGCCGTTAGAAGTAGTCGAAAAGCTCATGTATCTGGGGTGTTGTGTGAGTGCTGGTGGAGGTATGATGGGTGGAATTTCTAATCACATCTTATAAGACAGAGTGACGTACGCCAATCTGGGCGACCTTTGACGCCGTGTGAGGTTGGTATGACCGTAAAACGTCTGGTTCACAACCCTTCAGGGCGAGCAGTTCTGACCTACGCCTGTGAAACCTGGCATCTCCGACAACTCTGTCTGTTCAACCATACTTGTCTCCGTCGGATCGCTCGTATCCGGTTGTGACATCATGTATGTAATTTTGAGGTACCACAGAGTGTGTTTGGGACTGACTGAGATCGTCATTCAATAGGTGAAGTCATCAGGAGACACAGCCCTCAATTGCTTCGACATGTGTTACATATGTCATCCTAAAGGCTTCCATACCGTTGATTGTTTGCTAGCTGTAGAACTGGATGGAAGAAATGGAGGGGTAGTCAGTGTATGATGTGGTGCCATAGGATGGAGGATAGTTGTATCGGGTTAGTGTCTGTTGGTTCACGACAACTCCCCGGATGGGGGTCCAAGAGATCACACAACTCAGTGGCTTCAGACGTTATCAGATTTGGCTCAGAGTGGAAACCAATGGCGGTCGTGCTATAGCTTCCTTCTATCTTCTGATAGTGAAAAGTAATGAGTGTTTTGTTCTGAATGAATATTACTGGACAACACTTCAAATCATTCTATTCTTATTGTATTTTTCTCTCTTACTTGTCGACTTCCCATAAATTTATCTTTTCATAGTGTTGTTACACTATTTTATGTGGGGGATTTCTTGGTTCCCCTTGCTGCATCATGTTTGTGTTCTAATAATGTTATGATTTGGACGGACCGACTGCTACATGCTAGGGCCACTAACGATGCATAGATATCGACCGTCAGCCATCAACAAATTCCTAGCTGATTCCCGATCCCATTAATTAATCGAGAAGACACTATGGATGTGTAGAAATGTGTATTAGGGCCGAAAAGCCGAAGGGCCAAACAAAGGAGATACAGCTACTATATAAATAGTTCACTGTTTAAAATAATAATCCTGATTGGTTGATCCAGCGTGTCTGTCTGTCCTTCTAACTATAGACGTGAAAACATAAAGCATATTTTGACTGGTCGCGCTCTCCAGACTAGGCTTTTCTCACTGTCTCTATATCAAGATCTATACCAATGTTTTATGCTAACTAGGATCTCACAACAAATAACAACGACAGTGCTCTGTACATGGCTTAGGCCAGCACATCTAGTGTTTAGGGGAGATTGAAAGAAAACTTAATGACTTAGGTCTCCGACGTTTCGCAATCCTGAAGAAAATTGAGTTCTTTCAGGTATTTGAAGTGCTTTTATTGTCTTATTCAAACATTTCTGTTAATATTTTATGCATGGATATCAAATTCCTAATGAAACGAATGTTGTTTATTCGCATTGAATATTTATTGACTAAAAAAATTAATGATCACTTTTCAATTTCTGCTTTATATTATCTTTGTGCTTTGAAGTTTGTTTAGCCATTGGATTCGTTTTACGGGGTAAGGTTGCTAGTCCTATGCCCAACCTTCTGTCTTTACCCGGGCTTAGGACCGGCTAGTAACTAGTGAACTAGTTAACCAGGAGAGGTTCAGTTTCTGTACCGTTCACCTTATAATCTTGTTTCCATTGTTGTCGGTCAGGAAAGTTCTGGGTTATAGAAATTATTCTATCCTGATCAAAGTGAAAATATTGAAAACAAAATCCTATACATAACAACCTTGTGGACAATCATATAGTAGGTTGGAGGCCGTACCTATTGTGAGAAGGCTAAGGATACTCCCCAACTGACTGCCTAACCCTTCGTGTAGATGAAGCGGGATTCTAACCCATCACCTACTGGTTGGAAGTCAACCGCTCCATTGAATGCATATCCATCCACATACTTGTGTCTAAGTTAGAAATTATCGGAAACAATTATCATGGCGTAGACGGGATCAACATGCTATTTGTTACTAAGTGTCAGAGTTAAGGGAGTTAACATTCAACTAACTGGATTAATGATGGTTTCATTCAACTATTCAACATCAAACAGATTGTGCCATGAGGCTCAGCTAACGGTTACAATGAAGCATTCAATGACAGAATTAAATAAGCAACCTACTTTTCAGTCACTGATAAGCGAAATATACTCAGCGTTTATGCAACACATGAGGCGGTTACACGGTGTAAATCACAAGCGTTTTTGCAGCATTCCTCGAGTTTGATGGAATCACCGTATGATTGGTGTTGAGTACTATGTAAGATAGGCAAGTCTATTAATGAGGTTATGAATCTTATTCGACTGGGATGGCTGCGACATGTAGTGCGCATGCCCAGTCAATGTTAAAATAAGATGGATTAGGTAAGAAGAGGGTTTAGGGTGGTCAGACTAAGACGTGGAACCAATCAATGAAGTCTCTGGCTATTGCTCTTAGCCATGTGAATATTCGCACGAACCTTTATCTTCTAAGTGTTTATTCTCTCACACAACTCTGTCTCCTTTGATATTGTAGTGGGTGTTGCTGATAAGAACTGATATAAGTAGTATGTGTTGAGAGAGCGGCAGAAATCATAGGGAATTACAATGGGCCAAGATTCTGCCTAGAGAAATGCAAGATAAAATGCGGGCGTATTAAGAGCAAATCAATATGGAAGTGGAAGAGGAAATGAAGCCCATTTCGCATACGAATGTACCGTATGTGAATAATAAACATTCCTTCCTTCGTCTCTATCTTCACATTTACTACAATATGACAAAATACAACAGTGTAGCGTGTTTCACACTAACAAACTGTCAGAGTATCAAGCTTACTTGCGTTCGTATAGTTAAAGATGAACACACACCTATTGACTAACGGCTGAGTTGGTGGCTGATGAAATCTGGGATCCGATACAAAACGCTTGTTTGGCACTTTCTAACATGGTTTATATGTGGTGGTGGCCGGCAAGATATCGAACTATCTATATAAGAACGAGTACACTGTGCTGCCACCTCTTCTGTCCTGTTTTATGTCTGTAAGACATGGCCATTGAGAATAGAAGACATGAAGTGGTTACAACGTCTTCGTGGACCTGTCACTCTGTGCTTTTTTTCCGAGTTAATTTTAGCCGGTGGGTAACGGGTTCGGACTCTCTTCCACCTACTGAAATTTGGACAACTAGATAATATCACTCGCCCTTACACAATATGCATGCATCATCACCTACTAATGCACAGAATGGCACAAGGTGACTGAGTTCGTTGTATTGTTGTTGTTTCGCATTGTGTCCTTGCAGCATTGCTTCCGTTTGGTGGAATCACCTTGTGAGAAATGCAGAGATAAGGCAAGACAGTGAAGTCGATTGTTGACCTTAGACTTCTGAAGTAGCTTGGACCTGTGCTACATATGCCGAGCCACCACCCACTTTGACATCCAATGCTAGAGGAGCTTGGATTATAGCTTTCAAGAGGGTTGAGCGTGACAATACCAAGCATCAGTTGCTAAAGTCGGTGACTGTTGCTTTCAGTCATGTGGGGTGACGCTGACTGCCTAACTGGAGTCAGTAGTTGACAGATCTTGCTGACATGGCAGCAAACCGGTCACACTGATGGAAATTATTCACTTCATGATGTCTTCTAAAGCTTGAATATTCACCGCAACCCTTATCTTCAAAGAAGCAAGAAGACAGGTATGCACGAAGGAATGTTCATAGTCAACAAGTGGGACAGTAGTCGGTACACCTTTCACTAAAACCATCATTTACAAAATATCCTTCATTCTCTCTTCCATTTCCTCTTCATATGCCTCCCTTATCTCTTGCGTTTCTCTTCGTGGAATCCTCACCCATTACTGATAGGTAGTTGTCTGATTTCTCCAACCTTGTCAATATATACTACTTATATCCATGCTGATAAGCAACCCATACACTTGTGTTGTATCAACTTCCATCTCCATTGATTTACTTCATAAAAACTATAAATTATCAACAATTATCTCTATTTCAAATGATTATTTAACTCATTCCTACTAGAAGATTTACACTGATGATAAACAATGACAACACAAACAATAGATAAAGTTGTATAAAGGAAGAGAATAAGAAATTGTAATAGAGATGAATACCAAGTTAAATTATCATATGTACCTGTAAGAAATTGAAATTGTTTACCTCTTGATCAGGTAAAAAATTTAATGCATTCAAACGAAGTATATTCAAGAAACCAGTGAATATATTCGATATAAGAAAATATAACATTCCTTTCTTATCAATTATTAAACAGAATAAAGAATAATTGGAATGGAAGAAAAAATTCGATTGAAATTTCATTAACAATGAAAATATACTAAGAGGAATAAGTATACAAATTAATGTAATAATTATAATAAACAGAATATAATTTATATTGGCAAAACGTCGTGATATCATTGAATAACCACCAAGTAGATGAATACATATGAATCCAATAAAAATAATTAGACAATAGAATAAAAATAGATGATTAAGTAATGAAATTAATGGAGAAAAATAATTGCCTTTTACAATCTTTTCCTTATTATTATTATTATTATTATTATTATTATTATTATTATTATTATTATTATTATTATTATTATGATGATGATCATTAACAAGCAAATAGATTCGTGTTAAAGTGAATATGGCAATACTACAAAAGTATATTGATGCATAACCGAATATAGATTGAATCCCTTCAAAATTAGCCATCCATATAGAATGTACACGATTCTCTTCAATATATAATAAACTAGTTGAATTAAATTGCCATTTTAATTGAAAATATTTTGGATAAATAACTATTGGTAAATATTCAGATAATAATAAACAAATACAAGATAATATTAGATAGAAGAGTAATTGTTTTTTAATTGATAAATTTAATATATAATTACTCAATGAATTTTTAGTAGTGAATAATAATGAAAAACCACGTATTATTGTAATTGTATAAAAAAAATTCCAATATATACCATATTCTGTTATATTTTGACAATAATTAAATAATTGAATAAATAATGTTCTTATTACACCTAATCCTAAACATGGTAAAAGGGAATATAGTAAACAAGGAAAAAATTCTTTACCATTATTATTATAATCAATAGACATTGACCAAATAATTTTACAATTAGATATACTTGAAGCAACAATAAATAAACCTGTACCAATATCCATTAAACCAATACCATACACTTCAGATTTAGCAAAACGTCTAGGACATATTGGTAAATCAATACAATAAATCATAATACAACTTATAATATAAATTGTTGATCTTGAATAAATAATTAAATTATTTAATGATAAGTTATTTAAATTATATACATAATGATATCGATGTATATTAGGTAATATTGTCCATAGGAGACAAATTAAATAACAACTAATTACAATTAAATTAATATAAGATGAAAAAAATGTTAATATTAATAACATTGGTATAAAAATAATAAAATAATCAATTAATACAAGAGTATATAATTGATAGTTTAATGTAAACTTGAATTGTATACATGTAAGTAATTTTAACCATTGTATAATGAATGGAAATATACAAATACATATAATTTCTAGAATAGAAGTATAACCAATACGTTTAGTAAACTCTTCAAGCTTTAATCTCTGTGATTCTTGTCTCATTTTATAACCTCCCCTTTTTCTTCTTCTTCTTTCAATTAAGGATATCACAGATAAAGTAATTGAATCTACACAAGAGAAAATAATACAATGAATGTTAAACTATATACTACTTCTTATTCAAAAGCATAATAATATTTAATGTTCTTCATGACTACCGGATTCCTCTCTATTTGTAAGATATCAGGGAGATACACCCTCATACGCAGTTAGTTATGCGGTTCCTATTCAGATGAATCCATCAACTATTGTCTTAAATACCGTGGAAATAACATCACTCACTAAGATGTAGAGGTATTCAGTCTGAAGAGTCGTGAATAGGATGAAACGCTGTCCTAGATTCCACCATTGTTATTATTATTATTTGTCCCTTCGGTTTCTAGTGGAAAATGGGGCTTCAGTAGCACGTCGCCGTTCCACTCTCTTCTCTGCAATCTTTGAACCTGGCTCCATGACAGCCCACAAGCTCTCATTTCCTCCTCACACCATCTCCCCCATGTCACCCTCGCCTCAGACGCTCAACTCGTCGCTTCCCACCTGGGTTCCACTTGAGTGTCTGGCACATGATGTCCCTGAATGGTCCTCTCAGTGCATGCACAATCCATCTCCACTTCCTTCCATTGCATATTTGTTGGCGATAGATTCTTGTTTGGTTCATCGCCAGCCAGCTACAGTTCCTTGTTGCTTATTCTTTCTGGCCATTTGAGCTTCAGTATCCAGCTAGCGTAGGCAGTTATTGATGAATATCTGTACTTTATCAGAAATGCTTTTTGTGATGCGCCAAGTCTCTCAACCATCACACAGAAGCACTGACTTGACGTTGGTGTTGAAAATCCGGATCTTGTTCACGCTTTGTGCTGAGAGCAGAAGATTTCCACACTGGTTGAAGGTTAATGAATGCCTGTCTTGCTGTCTTTCCGATCCTGGTTTTGACATCGTAATCTGTGCCGCCTGTGATTGAAACAGTGCTGCCTAGGTAGGTGAAACAGGCTACTTCCTTTAAGTTTCTTCCGTTGATGGTGACTGGAGCTCTGTGTTGTTGTTCATGGTGTGGGTTGGGTATCTTCATCACCTCTGGCTTCTCTACATTAACTTGAAGTCCTGTCTTTGCTGCCTCGCCTCTTCTGTCAACTTTTGTCTGAAGATCTTCGAGTTTGCGCGACATTAGACATAAATCATCATCGGCGAAATCCAAATCTTCTGCTCTATGCATGAAATCACACTGGCGTAATGAATTACCTAAGTCTGTAGATGACATAAGTGAATACAAAGTATGCCTGCATTCACTTACCACGTGTATCTTTGAAAATTTCTCACAAAGTGAGAAGACTGACATCCTTACACCGGTTTCTGTTTCATTCTGACAAGAATGCTTTTGAAGCTCACTCTTTGTTTAAGCTATTATAACGATAGGCAAGTATCACACCCAAATAAACTGTTTACAAGCCGCTAAGCTGGTGACGGTCAGTATCCTTGGCATACTAAGCGATCTCTTCTAAATTTATCACCTATTACTTTAAACTAAACCCAACCAGTAATATTCGAGTAGCTTGATTATCACGTGCTTTCTACCAAGGCTTGAAGTTATACATAGAGTAGAGTAACTAAATCCAGTTTTATCTGACTGATCTACGTGACTTGCTATTTTATACTAAACATAGACACACTTCCTTGTAAGTAAACACAGGAATGAATCGGAATCAATTTTCAATAAGTGTAACCCAGAAAAGTAAGCATACAAGAAAAATTCAATTTTCATGATACACTTGGCTACAGTAGGATAATCAGTGGAAAGAATCTTACTTCTTAAACCAATGGGAGTGGCTTGAATAGACAAACATAAACAAAGTAGAACTTGGAACTACTCTGCGAACACTCCAGTTCGCCAAAATTTACTACCACTGGTTCGGATAACTTGATGTGGTTTTTGAGGCTTTTAACATTAGGGCTAAAAATTAACCTAATTGGCTCAAATAAACTGAGCATTAAGTAGATGGTTTCTAGTAGAAATGTACTTTTAGATTTTCCGAAGCAAACAAGTGCGTCATAGGTAAACAAATAGCTAGTCTCCAAAAAACTTAAAAGGCCATAAGCATTATTACATTAATGAGTATGAGGTTGCTAGTAAATGAAAATACTCTTAACACGAAACTACTTCCACTAAAATTAAAAATTATTTCATGATGTCACAAACAAACTGAAAATCTAATTGCACATGTAAATCAAACAAAATACTGGCCCATAATAATGGGAAAGCATGCGATTGGAAACACAGCCATTGCTAGCCTACACTTGAGAAGTGTAAGACATGCTTAAAAAGTGGAGTATTAACCAATCATATTACTATCCAAGTTTCTATGCGTTGTTGCAATACGCATTCTGGGTTGCTTTTTTACACTGCTTCCCATATGAGCATATATATTGCCAGTGAATTTTTCAAATGGGATTGTTTGAGACTCAAATATTATTTCAGGTATCGCTAGGTCCCGATCAATTTATTTATTTTCAGTGGTATTTATTTGAACTGCATAGAATTACGCTGACTAGAAGCATTTGAAAACAAGAATGGATATGGAAAGTCCATTCAGCGACCCTGTGCACAGACGTTCAGCAAGAGATGAACCACACCTGTTGTGTGAATACTAATAATACTGCCTGGCTGCCCAGGGCTGTACACGTTAAGTGCATCTATAGATCCAGCGCGTGCTTCCCAGCCAGCATTTACTTCGGGGCACTTAGCAACTCTTGCGTATTCCCCTAAATTTCACAAATATTTTACTTGGCCGCTAACATTTTGACTTCTATAACAAAAACACATGTAGCACATAAACATCAAATATTCAGATAAAAATATTACGGGTTAGGCCTTCTCATCATTTGAGATATGGGTTATTACAAATCTTCGGGAGCACTACAGACATTTTGGGTACTTTGGGCGCATTGCAGAAACTTGGCGCGCACTTCGTGACTTCTGACGCTTTCGAGGAAAAGGTTTGGAACATTCGGGGGATATCGTGAGTCGCCCGAAGTAAAATTTTCGGTTTAAGCCAGAAACTCACAATGTGCGCCTGAAGCTAATGTTGGCTGAGTTATGCACGACTAACAGCTGATTTCAAGTTTGCATGATTTAGATTTTCAATAGTCAACTACCAATTACTGATACGGAGCACTGTCATAAAATCTGAAAGGATTCTAACCACCAAAAATTGAATGTAAGCATATTTTCAATATTAATGAACATTTTACTACAGTAAATTTAGAATATTCAATGGATGAAACCTAACTAACAAAAAATGACACCAATAACATCCCTATAAAAAAGTTGATATAAGACTGTTGAATGAGGTCGATCAACCTACAATGATAAACAGAACCATCAAAAGATAGTTCAAATGGATACCACGGCCTTGAAGATTTAAAAGTCCAACATCCAATATTCAATATTGATAGTGCGAGCGTAGAAAACTGGTAGTTTTTGATCTCTCGCGTCTAGTCGCAGTAGTAGTCTGTGCAGCATCCGATAATAATATTGTGATCGAATGAATCTGGCAGTTTTCTCATCTCTTGCGTCTACGTCTTGAAGAAAGGTTCTTTTCGTTCGCATACAATCCTTCCGTGACCACACAGATCCATCCTGTTTACCAGAATCAATAGCTTAGGGCTCGACGAGATTCAGTATTGATGCCGGCCTTCATGATTTAACTGAACTCGCCAAGCTGAAGGCACCTGGTAAAGCATCCTCGCCATTTGCCACGCTGTTGTGTTACGTTTAACTGCTTGTAATCGGCCCTCTATCCAGCTAGTTGGAACGCATCGGTATCGGGACGGCCTAGCGAACATACTATTCTACCCGGCTACGCTACCGTGTTCCCCTTGATCTCACATTCGTGGGCCTATTAAAAGTGGGAATTATTGGTGATTGGCCGCTGCTTCAGTGAAGTCCGCACCAGGACGATTCCTAAATATTCAAAGCTCTAGCTGTCACATACTAAAAAAGGTGAGTATTGCCGTTAGCCCGTAGGTTTCTAACCTTCATTGAACAGCAGTGGATTTTGTCACAACAATGAGCACCTTAAAGTATTCATTTCCTTCGCTCTTGCTTGCTATTGAGTTTTCCTGTTGTCGTTTACTCTGCACTCAGTCTATTCAAAGCTACCTGCCAATCTCATCGAAAACCTACACCATCAATACGGTTTTAGCTCGCAGAAATTAAACTTCGCCTGAAAAATTGTTTGCAGCTGTTAGCCCGTGGAAGGTATAAACTTAGCTGCCAAATAGGCTACATTCATTCACTGTGATATGCTTAGAATAACCCGTTCCACGATGTCCTTCTTCAAGTATGTAGACATCATGAGCGAATTTTTCTCAAAATAAGGACTAGTGTATGATCCATATATTATGGTGAAGAGTTAGACTCTCTAAAGTTTACAAACGAAACCTTAAGACTCCACAGGTTTTATTGGTTGCACGGCGACAGTGGAGTGAAGCTTGTTGTGTTACTTGATGTAACCCGTCGATCTTGTTGCATGTTAGAGTGACAGACATTTATTTCACCCAAGAAGTAGGAAATGGAACAGTCTTATGCTAGTCAGCTATCATTATCCTACAGTTCCCCGAGTTGGCAGGGAGCATGTTTTCTGTTGTCCAACTTAGGAATTCCATAGAAAGATCTGTTGGCGTCTGTGCTTCTCTCAAATCTTCGGATCATCGGTGCATGATAGTGAATAGTAGTGAAATGAGGGACCTTAGCGGTTCGTTGATGAAAGGAAGAAGCTATAAAGGATCCAGGATAGAGCCCTTAGGCACACCACTCTGCATCAGGAACCAGGTGGATAAGGATGAGCCAACTTTAACTGACTGCAACCTAGGGTAGAGGTAATCCCTAACACAAATCAGTTTTCTTTGTACACCAAATTTCGTCTGCTACCCGCTTCTGCTACGCATTTCTGGGATTTACCTAACGAATTCTTCATCTACATGGAATCCTAGCAATCGCATTTACTTAAGAACATAAATTTCATGTTATTGTGTAGTGAAGAACTTTTATTTTTGGTTACTATACCGGGTGGGGTGAGATGTGCCTTTGGTCTGAGGTGATATCCTATGGAAGTGTCCTCAACTCTTCTTATGAAAGGCCAATATATGTGTGGTGGATGTCCCATTTTACATTACTAGGGCCCTGTATACGGTATTTCATGGAGGATGGTGTACTCGGTAAGTCGGATAACTCGCCAGACGATAAGGAGTTAACCAGTAACCCTTTAAATTCAGAGGTTGATATGGAGGCCGTCACCGGGACAGGGAGTTCATTCGAAATTTAAGAGAACTCGACGGTGAGTAAATTTACGCACAAGCGGGATTTAAATGGGTCCGGTGTGACAGCGTGGGCGCGGTTGCGCAGGTCGTAACAACTGCTGGGTTCCAACTAAAACTCACCACTGGCCGTGAAATGGAATCTGTGTAGCGCATCTAGGAAGAGTTTTAATTTGATTTTGAGTCGCCTCATCCGAAGTGTTTTCAGACTTAGAGTTCTGCGTCTGGAGCTGCAGCCCTGTTTGCAATCGTATCCTAGTAATCTAGCCGCAAAATACCTTTGGGCACCCTGTATTTTTAGTTTGTTTTTTGTGTGGATAGCATTCAATATAAATGGACAATATTCTAGTGGCGAGCGTACTCAAGTTTTATAGAGCGCAGCTTGAGTTCTTAGGGGTGAAAGTTACGAGCTATGCAACCCATTAAGATTTCAGATTTGCTAGTCTGCGACGCTGCCTGCCCAAAAAATATGAGGTTCCTTGGATATCTTAGTCCAAGGTCACATACACTTTTGACAGTGGTGGCTTCGTAGACTGAAGATATAGTTGGATGTCCACCGATGGAGCAGCAAAATGTATCCAGCCGCAAACCGAGGTTCCCAAGGGGCAGACCACGCGGAGATTATATCAAGCTTCCTTTGTACTGGTGTTTGGAAGTGGGATAAATCATGATGGCTGGGTGTATATTCAAGTTTTAGGTCATGAAAAAACAAGAATGGTTAACTGTGTGTAAAGCAGCTGCAGATGTCATTGACGTGTAGAGTGAGAAAAAGGGGACCTATCACACTGCCCCGCACCAAACCGGAGGTAATTGGCCTACCTTTTGAGGTGTGTAGGTCTACTTTCACCACTTAGGTGCGATTACTGAGGAGAGACTTAATCCATCCTAATAGTGGATGGTCAATTACCAGAGACTTTAACTTAGTAGCGGTACGTGATCAGCTGTGTCAAATGCCTTTGAAATACCTAGATAAAGTACGGGGACTAATTGGTGTAGGTCGCACATAGTGATTGTGATGTCAAAGAAGTCAAGATGGCTACTATACATGACCTCGATTTTAGGAACCTATGTTGACTCGATGTGATAATGCTGCTGCTAAGCATGTGTTGAAGAACGCTTTCTCTAATAACTTTCTCCATAGTTCAAGAAACTGCATGCGTAGCATTTATTGGTCACTAGTTACTAGCTAGCCCTTCTGAACAGGATTTAAACTAGGCAGGATAAGTGACGTTTTCCAAATATCAGGGTGTTTGAATAAGTTGACAGACAGAGAAAATATTTTAAGCAGTTATAAGCAACAGTGATGGAGTATCAGGGCCACCATGTTTTAAGGAAAGTTATGAAATCCCGTCTGTGCCAGCGCTGCAGCAGCATTGTAGCATCCTAATTGTTTGGCTAATATTAGAATATGCGGATTCAGCCGTATCTACTGGTGTTAGTGGGGGGGGGGGAGAAGAATAGCTTCTAATGGTGCAGAACCCATTAGTATTACTGGAAAGAACTAAGGTTCCAGTTGACTAACTGCAGGCAAGTCACCAAATGCTTCGCGCACATCTACTGGGTTATTGTGAGCTTTGGTGTCATGAATAAGAAGAGGAATGTTGTCTTGTGCAATTTTATCGCTTCCTAAGTAGTGTTGAGAGAGCGTATACTCTCTAAGAGCTAGCCAGCGCACTACTACTTTCGTTCTTCATACCCAACTCTTGATAATGCGAGATGGAGTCAAAAAAACCAAGAACCAGCAAGAGTGCATCAAACTCGAGATGGCTGTAGCATCTTGTTGAGAGTTTACGACAGACGTCTTTCAAAATTCTGTTGAAATTCCTAATTTGGTGCACTTTTTCCCAATATTCCGCATGAGTGATATCAAGATAGATTCTCCCCCAGTCTCGTCAATACTTCGTAAATTACGGAACTTACCACATCATACGACAGTGGTTCAACTATCAACTGCAATTACGCAGTGATCTAATGCTGACCCATGGACCAAAAAAACTAGTTTAGATGCCCATGTTGTGATAAAAAACCTGTATGTTTAGTATGTTAACGAGCTGGTGACCGTTCATAGTGCCCACAAAAATACTGAATCGGCTCCGCTATCTACGAGGTAGAGGGCCTAGGCCATTATTGGTGTGAACGAGCGGATTATGGGCGTGGGCACAATGATACTGAAACTCACTAGACACCTCAACCTAATACCTTTATGACTGACCTCCCTCAGTACTTTCTGCTCCACTTAGCCGTGAAAACTCCGAGTTTTGTAAGTGGTGACACCAGATTTTGTCAATCAGTCTTTAGAGTGACGCTTGAAAGGTATTCCAACACGTTTGGTCTAAATACGTCACTTCACCCGTAGCAGCACTGTGGAGCATAAACATCAGAATTCGTGCAGCAGGGTGAGAAAAACTCCGAAAACAGTAACAGTACAACCATTAAACCAACCAACGATTTCACTAACGCGTGTCAGTATATTTATAGAAGAATAGTCCCATAACTCAGTATCAGTGGGCAGTTTAAAGAGGCACCGAAATTCGACTTGAATGAAATTGACAATAATAATGACCATTTTTATTTTTGAGACGCAATCATATCAAGTTTACTGGCGACATCAATCATACAATGTGACTCATTAATACAAAATACACTTTCATGTCCGTAATTTTCACCGAACAAAATATACTATGCACAGACGTCAAATAAAATAGGTACTCATGTCCTGGTTGCTTTCTGCAGATGAAATCGTTCTGTAGGTGAGTTATCAGTTAATACGGAGTCTTTAATAAAATGCATTCTTCATGAAAACTAATACTTCGATGCTTGGTGCAAGAAAGTCATAACAATCCCAGCAGGGAGGACAGGGCTGATGAGGGACAGCGAAGGTTATAGTCAGGGAGAAATGTTTTGGACTTTACCACAAATCAATGTCCAGTGTGATAATGGACTTACAAGTAGTGGTAATGAAACAACATTAATGTACTGGAAGTTTATCGGGTGCAGGAACCACTGACGAGTAAAATATGGTGATGTATGATGGTGGCCCTTTACAATATCCTTTATAATTGTCATGCGAATCGGGGGAATTGAGATAATCTCGAGCGGAAAGGAGCTTCTGTACGTAGTGATGTGATAATGGAAGAGGGGAGCAGGCATTTCGAAGAGTTACACTTTTTTCTGTTGATTGGCACCGATGAAAGAGGAGAATGTAGTCATCACGGTGACCGAGCCCATGTCGGCACCAGTGAGGGAAAGAGAGAAGAAGTAGCAAGATGGCCCTGAAGAAAACTAAAAGTGATTAACCATTGAAAGTTGTAAGGTACTCGAGTTAGGGCGGTCATTTTTGAATTACTTACCAAAGTAACTTATGGTAACCTAATTTGTCAAGCTGTTTAGGTAATACTGAGGTATTGTTACAGTATATTTTTACCTAATTAGATGAAAAAATCGACATCCAAAAGATTGTGAACTCGTTTTGAAACGCTTGTCGGGCAGCCTGTGGCTGGTGCGGCAAACAAGCCGAGCAAGAAGACATCCATTCACCGATAGCAGCTAATGGAGGCCTTGCCTCATGGTCAACTGACTAAGGTGGGAAGTGTGGGCCCTCATATTCCGACCCGCTGGCTCGGTGGTTACTCGTTGCCTGCAAGACCTGAGGGTCGTGGGTTTGATCCTCGATGAGGCAGGGTCATGGGCACGCACAACTGAGGATTCTCATACCAGGACGAAACAGCTGCGCGGTGCTCCCAGGTTTCCGATGTTTCTCTGAATGATGTTAGTCCATGATGCATGCCAACGTAGGATCAATAGATAAACCGCCGGCAACCCCAAAGTTGAACGTCTTTGTAGCGCAACAGACAACGGGATGACTCCATGCCAAGTGACTTCGGCGAAACCATTCTCTCAGGACCATGGGGGTTGGCTTACATAGCTAGGTATCATCTGGCTCGGATTATCTATGGCTGACTTTAAATGCTCTCACAGTGTTACAACAGTTGGTGTCTCCCAGTAACTTGTTTTAGGGGTAACGACCCCGAAGGTGACGGATACCTTCACAGCAGTGCCGAGTAGCCAATATCGAAAGTGCAAAACGGTGGTGAGGTGTTCTTGGTTTATCGTCTTAGCGGTTAGTGTTCTGCTGAAAGCTGCAATAGTTATCTTACATTCTTACCGGTTTCTTCGTTTTCAGAACCTCATTGAAGAGAAAGCCTTCATGCCCAGAACAAGGCACACTTCATATGACCCGTAGTTCATCTCCCACGCAGCATGAAGGTTCAGCAATATAGTGGTCACCCATATGTCCTCTTATCCTTTCACTTCGCTGCTTCCTGGCTCTTCTCCAATCTGGATACAGATTCCGGTAGAGGCTCTGTTATATCGATAGCCATGGAGACGAACGCGATGCAGTTTCGCTAGCAAATTATTGGGCTGTCAAAGGTCACAGTGACACACACGGACTGGGCTGGCGTTATCCAGCCATACGTATAAAATAACTTGTTTATCTCTTCAATTTATACTCTGCTTCCTCAAGCCACTTCTTTTTCTCTCACTCCTATCTCGGCAACCACTGATCCTCATCACCTTTTAGTCCATGTCTTCTGTAAAAGCTTCCATATAACTGCAAGGGAGGTGAGCTATACATTTATTACCCATCGATGCGGCTCTTTCAGACGCTACTTCATTCTCTACCCAGCCAGGTACCTGTTAGTGGCTGTGCGTGGTTTTTCCGCCAGTACTCCTAACCACACAAGTATAATCGTCGGCACAATCCTGCCAACAGTCTAAATCTTTTACAACTCTTATCCTCACTGGTGATTTTAACATGCCACCCATTCAACTCCGGATGGAATGGAAGTATAGAAGGCTAAATAACATCCAAGAAAACTGGTCCCTTTGAGGTAGTAAATTAAGTCACCCGATGAGAACCCAACGGAGGCGCATTACATGCTATCTACTTCCCGAATAAAGACGGTACATAACCAGTGAAGTACCACATTTTACGGTGGCAAGTTAAGTTAATTGTCATTTTCGGCGGGGGAGTTGTTAAGTAACCCAAGGAACCGTACTAACTTGCATCGTAAAGTAAATCATCCAGCGACAGTGGCGGTCCCATAACAAGCTGGATGGGGACGTGCTGATCCCTCTTGAAGTTGCTGAGTTACCAAATCCCAAACCCGAGGTGCAGTTCCATATTCCCTGAATCAACCCACGCTAGTGAGAAAAGAAACCCATCGGGCCAATGGGAACAAAACCTGAGTCACATTTTTATAGCCCGGAAGAAATTGTTCCTGCAGCTACCCAGGTGGCAGTCAAGCGAGTCTCCCTGCTGTGACAGTCTGGGACCGTCAATCCTAGAAAAGTGTTACGACGTGTTTGCTGGGCTCATCTGTGCCCCCTTTAGGTACCCACCAGAGCTGAGTCAACCCTCACTAGAAAAAAAGAGGCGCCACCACCTCATCCGCTCTCAGGGGAGGAGAAAGAAAGGCTCTGGCTACTACCAACCATTTGCCTTACTCTTTGTAGGGACCTAAGTGCTCGAAGGCCAGAAAGAAGATACGATTTGGGGATTAAATGTCATGAACGACTCTCTTAACATCATACAACACACCCCTGGATAGCATGTTAACGTGCCACCAACTTGGTGACGACATATGTGGCTAGGCCACCACCTGGCATAAAACTAAATCAGTCCCCACTACCTTCTCCAATTAGACAAAAACGTTTGGTAACGCCGCACATGACACAACAGTCCACAATTCTCGTAAGCCGGCTTGGTTATGCTTCCACTTGATCGGTCCAAAGACTACCTAGAAGATAGGTTGTTCTGCACCAAAATGAAAGCGATACGATTCATGTGAAAGCCATTTGCTGCCAGCCCTTCCTAGGAAACAACCCTGGGACCACTTCTGTTTCTGCTTTCCATCAAGGACCTTACAAAGGATGTGTCTTACCCCAGCCTTTGTCGATGACACCGGAATATCGAGAACGGTGAGCGATGAGGCCTAAAGTCTACTTCGTTGTCTACAATGGTCCGCCAGTGGAAGGGTTGAGTGAAGTCAGATGCCAGTATAACGGATGAAAGGTTAACCGCTCATCTACGAAAGCACAATCCTGGGGCTTCCAAACCAACCAATACTCTCAAACTTTTACTTGCCTTGATCGGTCAGCCTCCCGCAATAAAGGAAACCTTAGGCGGATAGAATGCACAGCTCACTGGCCAGAAATTGGAGAAACTTATGCAAAGTGCATTGTGTTTTGTGCCGAGTAGCCCACATAATCGCGCAATATCCTCAGTTCTTTCCATTGGTTACTAATGAGGGGTGGACAGCGGTGAAGTGAAATGGCATTTGCTTCTCTTGTCTCGGAGGTCATAAGTCAACTGAGCGTGACACTTGTGCGGCATGTGACTTAAAGCCTCAATGGCACTTATCATACATTGTTGCACAGGCCTCCACCGATACAGGCTATAGGAGTGGCCAGAGACCTATATTCTCAGAGTTGACGCAGTTTGTGTTAGCTCGTGCGGGTACATTGCCAAGTAGGTTTGGACTACTGGCGACAGCTAGTCGACGATCAATTAGTGTGACAGCCTTTTCCACACAGCGACCGGTGTCTGATGGGGTATATGTGAGACCCATATGTGTAGCCCACAGAGGAAGCCACATAGCCACGAAATGTTCCATATTCCTGGTTTTAACGGTGAACGAAAGGTGGCCGAAGGCTAAAGAAAAAGGCCCCCATTTTCTTGCCCTAAAACAAATCACAAATCTATGGAATGGAAGACGCTTGTTGAACGAAACGCAGATGGTTGTAAAGGGCTCCATCATTCTCCGCGACGTGGACCTAAGAAGACATGGCATACCATGGGTGGATAACTGGAAGAACCCGGCTATGAGTATGTGGGGTTGTGTAGGGGATGCGCGTGTAAGGGCTT